GCCTCACGAAGTCCCTGCCAGCACTCTCTAGCATTACGTCCTCGAGCAACTTCAATTTTTATCCATGATCGCTGCTCCTGCTTGTTGAACATTGCTTAGAGCGGTATCACGACGAACTGTTTCAAAACTTACTACTTCTCAGTCAACTGACTCTCTTGATACAGACCAAACTTGATGCAGGCAACCGTCACCTGTCACTGTCTCACACACACTGCGCACACACTGCAGTTTCATCTCTGAGCGTTGTTCATACAGTGTTGCCACTATTAAAAATCCAACCCTCGTATCTGGTATCATCTACATATACTTAAAAATAAATCTAAACTAAGTCTACATCTCTCTTTCTAAGTTTTTTTATAACTTCAAGTAGATTTTGGCATGGAATATAAACAGATTTTTGTCTTTTATACCTTCGTATTGCTTTTGAATCGGATGAGGATTCAAAAGAGGGATTTAGCATAGACGAAAAAGGCGTTTGTGTTCACTCGTGTGTTCCTAGACTGCACGGATCGTATGAGTCGCTCGATGGAGGGCAGGCCCTCGACGCCCTGGTGGATCTCACGGGAGGAATAGCGCAATACTACGACATGCAAGACCTGGCCTCTGCATCAGAAGAGACCCAGCAGATGGTCTTCGACCGACTCGTCAAGGCCATGTCCCAGCAAAATGCCTTCGTCACCTGCGATCGGGTGGTGAGTAGTAGAATGATAGTTGAAGGAGAAAGTGGTCGATCTGTAAGAATTTCTTTTCTTGAGCTCCACACGGAAAGAGTGAAAATTCCAGAGGTTGTCATTCCAAATGCACTTAACCAATTTTACTTTTCTAGGAAATTTTTCGTAGATAGACTTTCCTTTCATCCCTTCAATTGTAAATCAAGAGAAAGAGAGAGAGGTTGAGAAGAAAATGGAACTCTAATTTCAGGGAGTGGACACAGATGTGAAGGACGGGTTGGTGAACGGGCACGCCTACACGGTCACGGGTGCAGCCTATGTACCAGACGGCCAATCGGGACAAATTCAACTCGTTCGGATCAGGAATCCCTGGGGAAACGCCACGGAGTGGACGGGTGCTTGGAACGACAGGTCGGTCGTCATCTCGACGCATGTTTCTGGGCAGTTCCAAAGTTACCGACGTAAGGCCAGACTCAAAGTGAAAACAAGTATGATAGCATGCCTTAAAGATGGTTTGGTTTGGAATTTATACTGCAACAGTGCCTTATAAGCTAGATCATAGAAACCCGCACCTATTCCAGGCAAAATTTTGTCATTTCTCCCGTGGATGATCAATTCTTTTAGGGTTGTCACGCTGAGTGATTTGAAAACATCGAAGTATCGATCTGAAATATCGGCATTGCATCGATGCACCCAGGGAAGAGCGGGAGGGGAGAGGGGTGCTAGCGGATTCTATTTTTATTTCGTGCGATTGGGCGGAGGCATGATTTCCGTCGTTTCTTGCCTCGATCGGGGCGCGGACCTCTATCCATATTCGATAATCTCTCGCCTATGATCGGGTAGTGGGGGAGGGGGGATGTGACCTTCGCGACAGGTAATAAAGCCTACCATGCTTCCAACTATGGAAAATGACAGCCATTCATCGATGGATGCATTGGGACAGCCCTTTCAGTCCTATTTTCGTTGAGAATCAATTGCCAAGCCCTGTTCACGATAAGTACCAGCAGCTTGCACACCGGCCGACGGTCGATGACGTCGATGATGCCATACCGGTGATTGCCGATACATCGGTACAGTCTTAATTTTTATACCACTTTTGTTCCAATTACTCTGGAACTGTCCTGCTGTGAATGTGTCTTGATGATTCCAATATATATTTTACCTTTTAATGAGGTCGATTCAAGAGAAAAGTAGTTGTGAGCTACCTTGGTTGAAATTTTACAATAGAGAAGTTTCATCCGCTCCGTCGATGGCGACAGACTAAGTAAAGTGAGAGAATTCCTGTTCAGTCGACTTAACAGAACAAGGGGAGCTTCAGGATTATGCTACATTCTTTTGTTGGGACAACTCTGAAACCCAAGCATAAAATAGAGGGAAAAAGCAATGTCCTTCAAAAGATGGAGAGGGGGATTATATCACCCAAATATCGACGAAAATTAAAGCTTCTGGTAAAAAGAGTTTCTTGCAGGAAACGATTAACCATATATTTAGCATTCATGTTCTGCATGATAAGCGACAGAATCCCAAACGCAAAGGTGTTGTAAGTGACAAAAATGAGTATTTTGGTTGAAAATGCCATTTTGTGAAGAAATTCAGATCCTTCCTTGCCGTATCGTGCGCTAAGGAACAACAATTTTTTTCCTGCAAAACCATTCCAGATATCAATCTCATTTCACAAACTTGCAACTTGTCTCCACGTGGTGCTCAAGTGTTATTGCAACTTAGCTTTCACCTGTTGGAAAACATCCATGCCGTAGAAGAGATGAAGAATGCAAGAGAATCGGAAATCTGAAAAGAGAAAGTTTGAGGGAAGACGAGGATCCTTCACAATCCACAGAAAAAGCGGAGAGTGAAACACTCCAGAGAGTCGGAGGTTCCGCTTAAGAAAAAATGGAGAATCGAATTAGAAATTTGGAGAGGTGACTTAAAGAAAAGGGTAAGGGTTCTTTGCAAAAGTTTTCATGCTTATGTGACAGTTTAAAGGGTTCTATTAATTAGAAAAGCGTCTCTTTTGGAATCAATTACAATAGCCATTGGTATTGGCTTGTCTCTCGTACAAGAGATCGCTGTTGCAGACTTAGTTCTCAATACGGCGAAAAACGTTGAGTATATCTAGTATTCGATTGAAAGTTTATCACGTCGTAAATAATGTGCTTTGGAACATTAAACCTCGACATGGGCATCTTTCACATTTCGAAGTTGACGTTTTTTTAAACCACAGAATGAATGGTGGTGAAATCGGAATCGCCGATATGAAGATTTAGATCCAATTAACGGGCTGCTTTGTGGATGCTGGCTGTGGAGAAGTGCTTCCCTCCGCCTGCACTCACTCGAGGCGGATGTTGGAGAGCGTTGCTTCAATAGATTCATTATTCAGGGAAACGAGATCGTTTACGTACCTGTCAGTAAATGCATGGAAAAGAGAGGGATACGGAATAATCGAGAAGGTAAGGTGACCTTTCTGTATAGCTTCTAGGTTGTATTTTTTTCATTTATAAATTGTATGCATTCTTAAAGGTGTTGTTCCTTCTACTTAACTTTCCCTCTTGCTACAGCCGTGGAATATCAATTTTGAAGCATTCTACTTATATAGAAAGCTAGAATAATTACGATGTTCAAATTTTAATGGAGCGGTTGCCGTAGGTCATGAACTCCATCGCTGTTTGCGTGGACCGTAGGGACGGAGAAGTTTGGAGACTATGACAACTTACTTTTCCACTTCATTCCAGGCTACATATTTTTTATATTAAACTAACATAATTACTATACTTCCCTTGTTTTCATATTGTATCATTCACACCTCACAAAATAAATAAATTTGTATCAGGATCAACCACAAATGTAAAGTGTTGAGCTTCTCGGCAAGATTTCAGGTTCATCCAGCTAGTGTCATCTAGCGATAGGCCTATGAAAACACACTGCTGCTGTTGAGCTATTGATAATCTTTCTCGTACGTTTCTGCAAGCACGTCATAAGCTCGTGATGATTCGGAATTCATCGTATGGCGAAGTTCGAGTGGGATTTCACTCACGATCGTGGGTTTGAGTGAATTTGAGTGCTCGCATCGATGCGAGCACTCAATCGAAGTCGGCTAGGATAGGCCCATTGATAGTCATTGATGACTAGGATAGGCCCATCGGAGGAAGGAAAAGAAGAGTTGAAAAATGAACATTTCTAGGATGTTGCAGTGTAGAACTTCTTCACCACGAAGGAGATACCGTACCTGCAACGGAAAAACGAGCAGGAAGTTTTATAAAAAGCGAGAGACGATGGACAAGATAGAAAGAAGCTATTGCGATACGACACGCCCTCAATCCTCACGGTTCTTTAATTTCTCGCCATTCTGAGCAACCGACACTGGCAGCGATACGCATTGCGATTTGTGCTATTGTATTTGGTGACCATATCCCAACTTTTCGTTTCGTGGACTTAATAAACACCACGGGCGTTGGGATCGTTATATTGACGCAGTGACACCGAAAGAAGGGAGAGAGGATTTCATTTTCGAACCATGTCAGTCCAGTGGAACTTGCACCCATTAAAAAGACGTCGGAATGCCATTTGTCATTGACTCCCTCTACATACGGGAAATTGGAAAAGTACTCGAATGGGGAACGAGTGGAAATCTATTTGGCTGGCCTGGAAAACGTCCCATTCCGTTCTTTCATTATCTCCTGCCTGAAACTTTCAGCCATTTCACGCTCCTTTAAAGAAAATCTCTGCATAGCTACCCTAGTGAAGTCTATTAAAAATGGCATTCATCAAGTGAGTTTCTCCAGTCCCCCGATGATAAAGATAAAGCCAAAAGAGGCAGATTCAATGCACCGGAGAACCTTTCTTTAAACAAAGAGGTTTGTTTTTCTACATTTATCCTCTCCCTTAATAGGATATACGAGGGTCACTCAATAAGTTATCTACCAGCATGAAAAATTTACATGATGCCATGGAGGAAAAACGCAGAGGAAAGTTGTCAAGGGGGGGGTCCTTCTGGGGGTCCATGACAACGCGCCCGTCCACAAATCTTTTAAAGTTCAGGCAGCAGTGGGGGAGTGTGGCTTTCAGGAGCTCGACTATCCTCCCTACAGCCCGGATCTGGCTCCTAGTCACTATTTTCTGTTCAGACACTTCGAAAAATTTTTGCGGGGAAAAAGATTTTCATGCAATGAAGAGCTGAAAGTTGCCGTTTCTGATTTGTTTGATGGACAAGAAGTTGACTTCTATTCCCAGGGAATAAAATCCTTGGAATCAAAGTGGAATAAGTGTGTTGAGTTAAAAGGTGACTACATTGAAAAATAAAGTGTTATTTTTCCTCTCGGATGTTTCTTTCTTATTCAGGTAGATAACTTATTGAGTGACCCTCGTACTTCCATTCCAATTTCGATATGTGATGCACAGATGTCAAAAATGTTTTTCTTTGATGTATAATACATATATTATGCATTTAATATTGCGCTTTATTCCATGTGAAATAAAATTGGTGTGAAGGGTTTCCAATGCATAATGTCGGACTAGGTATAAGGCAACATAAGAGGTATGGGTCACGTGGATGACCAGAGGCCAATGAGAATCCTGTAACAAGACACTGGAATTCACCAATGGACCTAATGGCAAGACTACAGGAAGACCGTATAGGATGCAGAACAAGGTTGCCAAGTCAACCAAGCAGATCAACAGTTACACCCACTGGGGTGTCGGAGTAATGCCTCGGGGAGTATTTAAAGGTTAAAATGTCCGGAGTTAGGGTGCAAGCCACAACCCAGCAGGGTGTGCCTGTAATGCCTTAGGATACAAAACAAGGTTGCCATGTCAACCAAACAGACTAACATGTGTACCCACTAGGGTGCGGGAGCAATGCCTCCGGCAAAATTAGGGGGTGAGAATGGTTGCGATTCGGATTCACATGGGAGCCAAATGCTGTTGCATGTGAACCCATGAGTAGGGGTGCCCATGCTCACCCTTCGTGAAGGGTTCCCATGTGAACCCGAGAGGCTTCTGTCCTGGGACAACACAGGCACACCTTTGAAGGTGTACATACGCACCTTTAAGCACCTTTTTTTTTACAGTGCATTGTAAGAGATGCACGCAGCGGGGCCTTTCGCCACCTACGTTGGCAAAAATGCGCGGCGGGTTGCGATTTGAGTAGTGCGAGGCCGCTAATAATGTAAAGGGTAATACTGTATTACTGTATAATACCACATTGTCCTACAAAGATACGATTTAAGGTAACGCTTTGATCTTTGGGTCACCCTTCGTCATCTCTCGACTTCCGTTCCCGGCCTTTGCCATGATGATTAGGGAAGCGCAGGGGCAGACCATCGAGAAATTATCAATTTACTAATTGATCGAGAAATTATCAATAAAAGTGTTTTTGCCGCATCCTGTCTTCTCTCATGGTCAGCCAGTGGCAGATACAGGGGGATGGCGACCGCCCCTTGGAGCCATATTTGCATTCTTAACCTTTAAATACTTCCGTGCTTTGACGCGGGCTACCCCCAAGTTATTGGTATTTTCGTGTGATTCGGGAAAAGTAATGATTTCTTCTCCCTCTTCAAGTTTCAATTTTACAAGCCATCCGAAGTATCGACCTCCTTAGACACCAATAAATAATACA